TCTCTCGCTCTCGCTCTCTCTCTCTGCCTGCACACATGCGCTCATGTGGTGCGCGGGAGGAAATTGCAAGTCGGATATTGGTTCAGCCGCGTAATCCCCTGTACTTTGACCTCATAAGCTACGAAAGACCATAGCCATTCCTTGACGAAGCAACTTTGAGACAGGCGGTGGCGCAGCCTTGGGCTTCCACCATGAACCAAGCGGAGCTGTACCTGAGCACAACCGCGGCTTCGGAACTTTGCCGGCTTGGGTTCTGCAAGAGGAAAGACTCAGCCTTCTTTTATAAGGAATCGTCAAACTCTCCTTCGTTAATATGTCCTGACAAATTAGAATAGGGTTTGAACGTAGTATATTAAAGTGTGTAATTAGACTCCTAACAACTAGTCATCCGTAAGCTCTGACTCAACCACGAACCCTCAAGCAAGCANNTGCCGCACGTCAATCTCACCAGGCGGGCATCAAAAGTGTCACACCTCAGTTGAATCTTGGAGTACGTAGGGTTAGAAGTGCAGGGCGTTGAAGATTTGAGTCCGGCTGTTTTGCTTGCAGGACTGATGACACTGAGGTCTAGGAAGTTGCAGCACCACTCATGGCTCAGTGAGGGCATATGTTTGGTTTGCAACCATCTCCTCCGCCAACCCAAAAAGGGCATTTCCAGTGACCGTAGCCCCACACCAGTTCTTCACAAATGTATGACTTTGAACTTGAAGTGCTCACCACGAACTAACTGACGAACTGCTGACCGAGGTTGAATGTAATCTAGCGAACAAACGGCTTGTTTCTTATATGAAGGAACAAGGATGAGGCGCAGGTCGCCGAGATCCGCGCAGCCGCCGGCATCTGGCCGTCCGACACTGAGGGCAGCAATATCGACGCGCACTTGGGACATTGATTGCATGGAGGGATCGGTGTAGAGCGGATTCGATGGATCCATGAGCGTCTCTATGCAGAAGGGCGTGAGTTCTGCCTCCGCAGCCATTGTCCTGGTTATGTCCGCCTGAAACAAATCTTTTGTCGCAGAAAATGTAAGATACGCCGGCCCTGAACCAGGTGTGGTCTCAGGCGACGTGGCCTTGTGGCTCTGCACTGAAACCTCACTCGCCGAAAGGGACTGGTAGTCACGTGTCTCCGCCGTTCTCAGCCCGAAGGTTTGCTGTGTCTCGGTATTAAATGCAACGACGAAGGCCTGGTTTCCTCCACAAAGCTCATTCTTGACTGCGAGCATGGTGTCGCCCAAGGGCCCCAACAAGAGATAGTAAGACATGAGCACAAGAAGCGACAAAGTCACGAAGTGCACAAGGGATTCAAATTGACTGCGCTGACGGCTGTACTTTACCTTGATGGGCTTCAAGCTCTGTATGGCATGTTGGATCCTGATAGGTGTTATGCCTGCGAACAAAAACTCATCTACGTCCAGGATGGCATTCAGGGCCACGGCATTCAACATCAGCTCTTCAATCGATGTGGTCCGAGCAAGCCACAGTATTCCAGCTGCCAAAAGGACAGAAGCAATCATCGCCCGTGCGAGATACGTAACCAACAGGGCGCAAAATCGTGCCCAAGACATAGAGACGAAGGCGTTGTCTCGGAAAACGGATCTGCGCTTCTTCGGAATTCCCCAAGCAGCCTCCATCTGCAACCAAATCCGTCGGAACTCCTCCATACTTTCGAATTTTTGGTTCTTTCTCTCTCTCTCTCTCTCGCTCTTTCTCTCTCCCTCTCCCCCGTTGTATCCAGAGGTCTAGCTCAGCCCTTCGGGGTTGCAGGTTATAGATACCAACAAAGTTTCGGGCATGAGGTGAGTATGCATGACCCGACGAAAATGCGGACACTGTGTTGTGTTCTGTATCAGACGTCGGACTCAACCAAATGCTGAAGAAAAGCAAAAAATTGCACCATTGCACAATCTGCTTTGGTCCTTGTAGACGCAGAGCGTCCACAAGATAATACATATCATGCCCAGCAGTATGCCCGGCTGAAACACGGAGTGCTCAAACTGTAGTTTCTGGAGGCCGAGGAAGCTGTTGATCCTTACTTGCTGAGTTGATAAGCTGCATAGAGTGTACACTTTCAGTTCTCTAAGGGATAATACTATCACAAAAGTGTAAAGCGTACTCATTCAGCTACTAAGTATCTGTTCTATCAAGGTTGCCTGCGTCGTGGACAAGATCAAAGCACCGTCGCCTGTACAAACTCGGGACACCAAACTGGTGTCAGCCAGGTCCAGATACCTGCAGCCCCAAACAGTTTAGGGTGTAGGTCATGATCCGTAGATTTGAGGATGTAACACTGAAAAAAGTAGGTGATTGGAGCCAGAGGTACTTGTAATCGTGGGCAATGCTGGTCCTCCAAATCTTCGCGCTCTCGACCCGCTTTTCGAACGCCTCCGAGGTTAAAACGCAGCCGTCAGAAGCACCCAGGAAAATCGGAAATTCACCGATTAGAATCTGAAGCTCTCAGAAAAAAAAGGAAATCCCTGAACCTTTTTACAGCAGGCCTCGTACACAGCAGCCCGGTCCCCAGCATCACTCGCTCACTGTAAGAACCTAAACCTGGAACCCTAACCCCCGCCTCACCAATGAAGGCATCAGTCAAGAGGACCCAGGAAAAGGCACCCTGCATGAAGAAGTTAAGCAGAACCAAGAGCCCAGCGAACATCCGATCGAAGAGGCCCACGTTGGCATCAATTATGCCAGCCAAGACTGGGATACTCCAAGCACTTTCCTCGAAGTAGACCTCTGTTGACTGCTCCTCAGCTGAGCTTGACTCATATTGTTTCAGGAACACGGCACATCCGGTCACGATCACTAAACCCGTATACCACCGCTGAGTCATATGGTGTTTGAAGCTGATCTCCCTCTCCCTCTCTCTGCCGTTGCATCC